CGGTGAATTAGACGGGTATATCTAACCCACGTAGGTAGCGGTAATTCAGAGATAGCATCAATCAATCAACAATCAACCATCACAAGCCTTATATCATATACCCTACCTATTCAGAGCTCGCAAGCATAGCAGAAGCACTGGATTGGGGTTCACATAAGCAGTGAAGCCCTCTCAACATAGCTTATACTTCGGATATATTACCCTCTTACTCGCTTATACTACCCTTTCCGGACAATACTATCTTAGAAATTTGGGGCCCGTGCCCCTTAAATTACACAAGCTACTACCCCCCGACGGTTCTCCGAACTAGGTAGGATGAACTTGAGACTCACCCCTGTGAGCTGCATCCCGTTGCGTATATGGTGTTACTTTGGCATGGATAAAGTAAGCGGCTGAATAACCCCTTGAGCATTGCGCATATATGGTCCTACCAAGACGGTGCAGCGGGTTGGGTGACGACAGCAGCTCCCGGCACTACGTCACACAGAGTAAGTGGTCAAAGCCATGTGGTATTGAATTAAGAATCTGGTATTCCATTCATGTCTCAAGGCGAACCTCCTGTAGGCTGGTAGCCCACAGGCGCCCCCCCCGCCCAGACTTGCCCGATCATGCATCCCCCCATCCCGCGTGTGCCATGCAGCGAAACGAAAGCAAGCAAGCCACACACCGAAACTTGATCCCGTCCACTCACACACCGCGCGCGCCCTCCCCCAACCGAAACCCAATGCTCGCCTACAACCAATGCGGAGGGTGCTGTGCCTGAAAAATCCAAAAATCGCAAAAGGGGGGGTGGTGGTGGTGTATGCGTGTGGGAAAAGCCACTGGTGATCGCCCAATGTATACATGGACCTCGCTCCAAAAATGCCCCCTGATCTCAACCATCTCATCTGTATCCTGCTGGCTTCATGCCGAAAAGAAAATGGCGTTCATGCTCTTTCGTCTCCGCACCTTGCATATATGCGTCTCTCATTTATGTGAATCCATGCGTGGAAAGAAAAAGTCTCAGATATATGCCCATCAAATGGTTTGTGATTTGTCGTGTCTCTTCTGTGTCGTGTCTCGTACCGACCCGCAAACGCCTCGCTCAAAACAAAGTCAAAATGGTCAAAAACTCGCACCTGGCAGCAGCCGCACCCGCGGGCCCCTCACGGCTTCTGCTCGGGTGGCGTCCTGCCGCCGCGGCTCGTATGCCGGCCGCAGCGGTGCGGCTTCTTGGGGCTGCGGAGGTGGCAGAACTCCTTGGCGTCGGCGGCGGCGGGCGGGCCGTACTTGGCGCTGACGGAGCAGTACTCGTAGCCGTGGCCGGCCGAGGCCATCCACTCGCGCAGGTGGCGGTGCAGCTCGCAACGCGAGATGCCGCACTTGCGACAGTAGACCTGGCCCCTGACGCGGAGGCGCTCGAGGGCCTGAATCTGCGCCTGGCGCTCAGCGGCCGAGGACGGCTCGGGGTGCGGCTGGCGCTGCACGGGGGCGGCGGCGGGCGTCGGGGGCGATGACGACGACGACTCGGCGCGCTCGTCAATCTTGGGCATGCGGGGCGCGGAGGAGGGGTGGACGAGGGGGCCGGCGCCACGCCATGCCCACTCCAGGTCGTTCGGCCCTTCGCGGCGCGTGGACAGGGGGACGGTGCCGTGCATGCGGCGGTGGATGTCATAGAACTGCTTGTTGACGAGGCCGAGGCAGGTGCTGTCAATGGGGTCGAGAAAGTCAAAGACAGCGTAGTGGAGTTCGGGAGGCAGATCGGTGATGAGCATCCGGCTCGAAAGGCGATGGGTCTGCGAAGGCGGCTCGTAGTCCATGACGGAGTAGGAGCGGCGAGGAGGCGGCAGGGGAGGGCGGGGCCGCTGGGCTTGCTCGCCGGACGCGGTGTGTTCGGCGGGCTTCCTGGCAGCGGCATGTTGGGCTGCCAGAGATCGGTCGGGAAGAGCGCGATGTGACATGTCGCCAGCATGAGAAGGCGTTGTTTCGGGCGGTGTGGGCACGCTCGACTCGGTGACCGGAGAGTCGGTGGAGGACCAGCCGCGGCGGGGCGTTCGCCAGCCGGCACGTTTCTTGTTGAGCTCGTTCATCATGGCCGTGTGCTCCTCGCGCGTCATGGTCTTGTTCTCAGGCCGAGAAGCGACGCTGGCGCCCATGAGGATGCGAGCGGCGACGGTGGCAGCGGCAACGCGCGAGACGTCGTTGATGGGCGAGTCCTCGGGGATGGCAGAGACGCCATGGTTGGCGTACGACGAGGGAAAGACTTCGACCATGGTGGCGGTGAACTGTCGACCCTCAATGTTTGTGAGGAGAGAACACCAGCTGAGGTCTGGCGTGGAGTTGATGGGTAATAAGTGGTGGTGGCGGTGGTGTTTGCCAAGTACAATCAGGTAAGGGCCAATGCGAGAGTGACGCTTCGGCTCGTGTCGTAGTGTTTGAGGTGATCGTCGGTGCAATCGAAGTTTGTTTCGTAGTGTTGTGCTTGTAGCTTCACTAGCAAGCTCATGGATAACTGAGTAGTGAAAGAAAAAGGGGGGGTAGTAAGGGCCAGGACTTGAGAGAGGCGAAAGGTGGGCTTGCCTTATATCAGGCGGAAGGACGGCGGGTGGGGGAATCGTGGGGTGTTGTCTTTTTGGGTGAAGCGTCATTCGGGATCCCAGTGGCAGTGACAAGTGACGAGCTAACGGAGGATCAACGGAGATGAAGTATTCGTTAGCACAGGGACCGCCGGGGCGGAAGATCAGGAGCGGGAGAAGGCGGATAGAGGGGAGGCGACAGAGGGCAAAGATGACTGGGAGAAACGGTGAAAAGGTACACCGTGACGAGGGAGGTGGTGTGATGGCCCCGGACTAGGGACCGGCAGCCAGCCCTGAACCACAATTTCGACGATGGTCCCCTACTTTGGTGCTGGTCCAATGTCTCCTTCCCAGAAGATACAGTACCACATGGATAAACGGGGAGGGGAAGCGACGGGGGAGGCAAGGCGTGGCTTGCCACGAGATGGGAGCCCACTTTCTTGACGTCGACAAAGATCGTGAGTGGGCATCAAGTCGGCCACGGTGGACGGTCTGGGTCTAGCTGGACCCATATCGCCCGCTTAGGCAGGGGCAGGGGCAGGGAACGAACAGTTCTTTGAGTGACCTACCTACTGTAAGTAGGTACCCAAGGTACCTCCGAGTCACCGCTAACCGGTTTACCCAGACCGACCGTTTCCCTTCGTCTGTCCGAAATCCTTCCCCGTCAGTCGCCAACGCTGTATCAAAATATGTTCAATATCTGAAATGCCTGCTGCATGTAGATGCAGGCAGATACAGAGACGCGATTTGGCACTAACCCAAAGGACAGGCTCGGGCATCGGACAGACTCGCGTCACCCTGGGCTGCGTGGGTGGTGCAACAGCCCAAAACGTGGGGTGACACCTCTCCAGACCTGTTTATCGTCACACTCGAGCAACCAGTCGCACCAACCCAATAACATGTTCGAGCTTTCGAGCTGCGCTTGCTCGCTTCATTGGCGGCGGGCCATGCCAAAGAAGAGTATTCTTCGGCTGGTCTCGAGCCAAACGAGGAGAGTTCCCTAGCAGACCTCATCGGTTCTTAATTACCTTGAATACAACCATGCATCTGTCACGAGTCGCTGCATCAGAACACGCACCCAATCTCCATCACCCATCACCGACAGACCATCCCACGCACCTTCTCACACCCTCACGCAGGCCAACACTCTATCTGTCTATTCCTGGCTGGCCTGTCGGAGCAGCCGTGGCTGGACGAGTCGCTGTCACCGCAGGCGAGACACCGTCATTCCAAGCCGATTCGCCCGTTTGCTCGTAACGCCGAAACGCCCTCGGCCTAGACAGCCCTCACCAGCTGAGGCCCCTCCCAGTGCCCTGATCAGCGTCGATGCTGCAGCGCTTCCGCCCTGGTAGACAAGACGGTCGATCGCTCGATCTCCCAGCGGGGAGCGGCGCCACGGCGCGGCTGCTTGTGTTGTGTGACAACCACCACGTCCGAAAGGGCCATTCATTGTGTAACCTTTAGTTTTTCTTGTGGCTGCTGAATTTTTTTCTGTTCGGGGTTCGGCGAGTCAACCGCGACTACAACCCGGCCGAGGCAATGAAATCTCAGCAAGTCGAGGTAATCGCTATCTGGAACCGCTTCGATGCCACCACGACCTGATTGACGCTGCTCTGCCTGGCAGGCCAAGATTGATTGATATGATCAGATCATTGCGAACACCCGTTTCGCCACCGTTTCTGCCGGATTTCCTTCAACACGCAACTGCAAAATCTCCACTCCATCAGCGTCAGATCCTCTGCTTCGAGGCCATTCCGTCACCAACCAACGCCCGCTTATTAGATGTTGATCTTCTAGTCATGTACAGTAGACCTCACACGAAGAATCTCAGGGTCCCGCCATGACGTCGATCCGCTCCCTCGGCGCAGGGAATTACATGGGATCCATGCCGTGCACTGCATTTGTCCTATCCACACTGCTCCATCAGAGAGAGAGGATCCAATGCTCACATTCAGAAATTGTTCATGTGGTCGTGGTGGCATGTTTACGAACATTAGTTTAACGACCGCAAAAGTGCAATGCGGCGCTACTGCACACAAGCACCGACGAGCGGGCGACCCTCTCTCTCTTGGCGCCCCGTATGACGTCGATGATGCTGGTGTGATCCTTTGCTGATGTCTTGACGTGAGGCTCAGAGACGATCGCCTTGGCCCCACGCATAGTGCCGCCATGTCGATTTTGCACCCTTGGTGCCTGCTTAGGCTTGTTCTGGAAAGCGTGAGCAATTACTACAAAGTACTTCAATTCACCACAGCGCAAGTCACCGCAGACGCTGCAGCTTTCCGCGGCTGTGAGGAGCAAAAGCATCACTGGCATCATGAGACTGGCTGAGTGCGGTGGGCCCCAGGCCTCCTTAGCGTTCATGCGCCTGGCCTCGCATGAACATACTCACCAAACCATGGCATGGACAATGCATCTCACGGGTTGTGGAATAAGCGAGAGGGTAAACAAGAAGCATCCGTGGTTCATTAGACGTTCGCAAACTCCCGGCTAGGATGGATGTACAACAATGTGAAAAGCAGCGTCGTGACATGGCAAGACCACCTCCCCTGCCCCCCTTTTCCTTTTCACCCGTGAAATCAATGGCCTTAGGATCGAGATAGATTCAAAGCCGTATACTCTCGATTGCATAGGCCAAAAAAAAAAGAGAAAGACAAACAAGCTCCGACGAGCCTGCTCAACCTCATCTTGTCCCGTCCTTCGTGCCATGCTTCGTCAAAAAGGGGGTATCTGCTGACTGTCCATGGCTTCGTCAAATCGTCCACATTCCGCAGGCAGGCGCTCGTAATGCGCTGCTCATTCTTCTCCTAGGGCGGCAGCGGTGGGGGACCCCTACCGCCCCTTCTTCTCTCGGCGAGGACATGGCCTCGCGCTGGTGCTTTCGGCGGTTGCCCTGTCATCCGGAACAGGACGCACGAACTGGCGCGTGTTACCGGAGACAGCGAGCCGCGAGGGGCGCTCAGATGGCGATCCAGATGAGCATGATGACCACGTCCATGCCCTTGCCCTCGCCGCCGTCGTACTTGTAGGACCACATGCCGTCCTTCTTCTCGTCCCAGAACGCGCCGGTCGAAGAGTGCATGCCGCGGCGGCCGACATGGGGCTTGCCGTCGGTGGCGGTGGGTGCTGCCTCGGTCGAGGTCGAAATGTGAGGCTCCTCGGACGAAGCCTCGGTGCCCTTGGACTTGTTGAGCGACGACGTGGGGACGAGGTGCTGCACGATCGTCGAGTTACAGGCAAACTTGAAGCTCGGTGCGGCGGCGCCGGAGGGGGTCGACTCTGAAATGACGGCCTTCAGGACGGAGGACTAGGGAGTGCGCTGTTAGCGGAGAGTAAGCGAATAGGAAAATCGTTTGGCAGGTCGTACGATGATGGACGAGTTCCATTCCGCGGTGAGCGCGTGGTCGTAGAACTCGACGCTGCCGATGGCGCTCTGGCAGGCCTGTTCACGGGGTCAGTTGGTTTGTTGCTGGCACCATGACAAATGTGATGGGGGAAACATACATCGGTCGCAATCTGCTTCAGGCGAGTGAAGGCGATGGGCTGTTGCTCGGTCAGTCACGAGTCATGGGGCGTGCGATCGTCTGCTGGCGATGCTCACAGGAGTAGGTCCAGTTTGAGCGGCCATTTTGTAGGTGGTGTGGAAAATGTGAGGTAGTAAACAACGAGGATGATTCCGTGATCGACAGGGTCAAGACAGCTCGAGAGGGGTCGTAGAAAAGGCGATTGTTGGGTTGCGGAACGTAAATCTGCGGGGAAGGAGCTCCAGATGGTGTTGTTGGTATGTAGGGGTAAAAGAAGGTCAAAAGGGTGGTGTGGTTGTGGTGAGGCCAGAGATTAATTCTGTTTGGCATCCCGCGTCGCATCAACCCCGGACAGCCACCACCCTGCAAGGCAGCGCGAGGGGCAACCGTGACTGGAGATGAGGTTGGCTTAGCTCAGCAGAGGCATGTGTCACATGATTTAATCATCCAGGCGTCTCCTGATAGCGGTAAAGCTTCGGCACAGCAGTGCCGTCTCGAGGCCCTCGTGCTCGTCGATTGGCCAACCATTATGTGCGCTGGATGCACGTGCCCTTGTCTGTTGCTGTTGCTGTTGCTGTTGCTGTTGCAGCAGGCCGAGAAAGCTTGAGGAGGCGCCCCATTGAGTGCCAAGTGGGACGGGAGAGCTTCCCAGCCTTGAAGCTCTGCCCAAGACCTGCGACTACAGTACTTTTGACTCTCTTTTTCACCCCATTGCACGCCGACTATTTCCAATAAATTCCTCAACAGTATCCCGTAGGCATTGACTCGTCTCTCGTGGCTCTCCCGAAGACAGAGACTGAGAGAAGATTCGAAAAGAAAAAGGAACGCCGTCCACAGATTCTCTACGCTTCGACGTTTCGCCAAATCCTAAACCCTACGTCGTCCGGGTAGACATATCGTCATAACCCCCGCCAACTGAAAACCCAAAACAACCTCGATCCTTTCCCATAGGCATCCCGACCACTCACTCGCCAGAATGTCGAGCCAGCCCCTCCTCCAGACTGCGCCGGGTACGTCTTGTCTGCGCTTCGCTGTATCTACCATAATCGTCAACTGACATCCTTTCCTTTTCCTCTTTTCTAGGCAAGCGCATCGCCCTCCCGACCCGTGTCGAGCCCAAGGTCTTCTTCGCCAACGAGCGCACCTTCCTCTCCTGGCTCAACTTCACCGTCATCCTCGGCGCCCTCGCCATCGGCATGCTCAACTTTGGCGATCGCCCCGCCTTCATCAGCGCCTTCCTCTTCACGGGCGTCGCAATGTTGACCATGATCTACGCCCTGGCGACGTATCATTGGCGAGCCAAATCCATCCGTGTGCGTGGGCAGGCTGGTTTCGATGACCGCTTCGGCCCCACGTTCCTGGCCATCATCCTGCTGCTGGCCGTCGTCGTCAACTTTGTGCTGAGGATAACGTACTCCTCCAACGAGCACAAGCACCACGGCGGGGCCTAAGTGCTCAACAGAGACAGGCAGATGGAGTTGCAGTCGTGTGGCTCGGTGTGGCAGCGTCGAGGGGATCTCAAGAGGCGATGTGTGGGAGGAAAGAGGTGGCCCCAGGATCATGGTGACGAAGTCAGGCTTTGAATCGAACAGATGGGAGGACAGGCGTGGGGGCGGGGTGTACAGTAAGATTGATCTTACGAGTTTACTGAATTAGACAGAATGCATTAGCAAGGAGCAAGGTTTTTGCGACAGACAATCATTTCAGCCTATACAGCTTATTTTGTGATGTGTTGTTAAATAATCAGGTTTGTTGCATCGTCGCAACCTGTCTTTCTTCCTGGCTGGAGCAAAAACAGCTCCCCTCCAGGGCACGCTTCCTATTTCGGCATGTTTGATACATTCCCACCCCGTGGTACCTTTGCCTTGAACGCCCAAAAAGATACAAACATCAGAACCCAACGGTCGGCCGCTATCCGTTCCGCCACAGCAACATGCCGAGGTCCTCCCCGAGCGAACGGAGTCCTGTCACTCAGGCAATTGTACCGACACGCCTTCTCGCGCCTTGAGCTCCGGCACGGGCACCGCCGATAGGAAGATGCTCAGAGACATGGCGACCCTCGCAGATGGCGGCGGCACAACCGCCCTCTCGAACCGTCTCTCCATGACCTCAAAGTCATCGTCGTCGTCGTCGCTCCCCTCGGACGCAGCGTCCGCCGCCCCCCTGCTAGGGAACACCGTCTCGTCCACGACCTCCTCGGCCTTTCTGTCCCGTAGCGGCACCGCATAGAGCATGTTGTACTGAAACCACTGCCCGCCCGCGCCCGTCTCCGCCCCCGCCTCTGCCGCGAGGTTCCGCTTCAGACACTCGGCAATGGTCAGCATCTTGCACACCTCGTGCGGACGGGCGTGCAGCAGCGCCACGGGCGGGCGGGGGTCGCCGTCGTCTTTCCGGAGATGTCGCAGCAGGTGCGCGACGCGCTTCTGGATCTTGGACGAGGAGAGGACGAGGGCCGGGAGGATGTCGTATTTCGTCTTGAGGTCGGCGAGGACCGAGACGTGCGCCGCGGAGAGCGGGACCGGCGCGGGGGCTGACCCTGCTGCGGTGCGGTGGCGGCTGTCGGGTTTTTCGCTGCTCTTGCTGGCCGGCAGGGTTGCGTCTGAGGAGGTTTTCGGCTTCTTGGCTGGCTTGGGTGGTTGTGCTGGTTGTGCTGCCTTGCGCTTGCTGCTGTGTGGGAGCTCCTTTGAGAGGCCTTGTGTTCTCGCCATTCCGCTCAATGGACGGTGTGCGCCCTCTGTTGAAATGTGTTTTGCTTTCTTTCTGGCGAGCTGAAGCAATTGATAGTCCCCGCGTGGTGTTTGCACCTGTAGCGAGGGTATGGATGGGGTGCGGGTCTGAATTGTAGGTTTCGAAGATGTGGGATCGAAGTCTGCAAGGAAGCCTGTCAGTTTTTGGAACCCCACCACCAAACGCCGGGTGGAGCTTGGACCCTTGCGACGTGGGTGCTTACAGTACCCCCGGACAAACGTCCAGTTGTGTGGGAAACACGCTCACCTCGTCCTACCTTGCCTTGCAGGATGAATGTTTGTTTTAGTCTCACAGCTTGGCGTGCATCGAAATCGTGTTCTTCACGTCTACATAGGAGCCCTATCGACCATGATCTGCTCCTTTGGCCACTTGAGCAGCTCCGCCAGCTCTCGGTGATGAGACAGCTGAAGATCAATCTCTGCCATCAGTGGCTTCGCCCAACCCCTGCTGTACCAGTAGCGGCCTTCCAATATGTTGAGAAATACACAGTAATAGGACAGGAGCAGGAGAGCGTGCGGGTTCAGGGCCTCAATGTCAAGCATGATCCGCTCCGGAATGACGTACGGCCAGAACATGACCATGCCGCTCTCGACACTGACGCCGGCGTGCGCCAAGAGCCGGGTGACCTTCATCAACTCGTTTATCGCCTTGAGGTAATCGTCCCTAAAGTCTGCCCGCATTCCGCCGTCAAAGGCAGATTCAAGGCGCTTCAGCGCTTGGTATACATCCCGAGGCAGGCACGAGTTCTCGAGGGGTGGGTGTCTATCACAAGTCAGTCTGGCCGCTGCTGGCTGGTTCATGGGCTAACGCTACGTACGGGTTCATGGGATCGTCTACATCTGTGATCCAGACGCTCCAAATGATCGGCGCAAAGCTCGTGCGCGGAATGTAGTTTACAAATTTCTGCATGATGGACTGGATGCCGCGCACAAAGCTGAACAGCTCCAGTATGGACGGAAATGGCGTCAGAAGCCGCTGGTTTTCTGAGCGTGCTGGCAGCAGATACACATACAACACGACGATGCTGGCGAACGAGAATATGGGTTTCCAGTTGTCGCGGTTAACGTCAAACATGAGCGGCGTGAAGCCCTCGAGGCCGAGCGACTGGTGGTAGGCTGCGAGGGTAATGTACATCTGTCGCTCGCTGGGCACGAGCTGCGCTTTGTGGACGGCGGCCACGGCGAGCATGCCGTGCATGACGTACGAGTGCTTGTAGCCCTCCTGCGGGACGGTGACCCGCCAGACGTGCCTCATGTCCTCGCGCGACGTCAACGTGTCGCACGTTGATATGGTGAAATGGTGCATGAGCTCGAGATCTCGACTGTTCCAGCCAGGTGGAGGAGATGGCGCTGCCACGGGCCCAGTCAGCCTTGGATCAAGGGCAATGTCGAGATGAATGAAATCGGTAGTGGAAGTAGCCGTCACTGATGCCGGGGATCCCACTACAGACGGAGGTTCCTTGGGCGTTCGAGTGTCACTGGAGACGTCTGTGAGGGCATTGCCACCTGCAAGGCTGCAGGGTATGCCCTGACGTGTGCAGTGAAAACATGACGGATATGTCTCATCGCACTGGAGATAATGGTCAGCACCGGCTTCTTATGATACGGCCACGATACGATGGCTACAAATCCCAACTCTCGGTATATGTGAGCTACTTACCTTGACTTTTCGACGCTTGCAATCTTTGCATCCTTTGCGAGACTTTGTGTGAGATCGTCTTGAAGTCAGCATTGTTCCAAGTATACCCTCAACGTCACATGAATGCGACGAGGTTGTGGCATGCTGTAGAGAGATACGCGGGTTCGGATCCAGCGAGGGTTATGAGCTCAAAACATCTGTAAAGCGGTGCCTGGCACTGCCTGGATAGCTGGGAATGGCCTGTACCTGGCTCGGTTTTGTCGTTTGAGAGTGGGTCTCCAACCCGAACCCGAGGGTGACCTCTGAAGGAGTCGTATAGAATGCGAACTACTATGTACACGGCGCCGTCACCTGCTGATTATTCCAGTTAGGTAGACTGTTGGCGTAAGATCAGATTGGCTCCCGTGTCCCGGAGTACCATCTGCTTGTGTGAGACATGAAGAACATGTCAGTGTCTTTTCCTTCTGGCACATTAGAAAAGATACCGAGTAACCTATCGCAAATAGTTGTATAAACGTCGTATCCTGTCCTTTCCAGGCGACGCTTGGCTTCAAGAACACAGCTTTTACGAAGATGTTTTGCATGTAGGGCACCCCGATTGATCTACAAAGTGCGGTCAACATGACATGTCGCCCTACGCACCGGCAACAAACTCTCTGCTCTCATCTCGTTTTTTTGGACTATGAAGCTAAGTTCAGGCAACGCCTCCTGTCCAGCATGGCTAAGAAGCGCGCAACAACGCACACAAGCGAACAGTTGCACTCAGTCCTGCAATGTAGTCAATACAGAAAAATGTCAGATAACGTTGTCTCACTGTGCCATGCCATACCCAACAGCTACGATATTCAGTGACCCTACCACATTCTTGATGTTGGCTTCGCTTATGAAACATGCAACCCGACTTGCCTAGGCATCATTGGTGCTTGTTGTCTCCTTTCTCATGACCAACTTTTCCGTTTGCAGCTGTAATCCATGCCTAGACGAGGTCGCGTCACAAAACAATGAACGAAACAGGTAAGGGCCCTCTGCCATGGTGGGTTAATGTGGAGCGGTAACCGCGTTCAAAGGCCAGGAGTCCAGATTCGGGCCGCCTCTCTGGCTGCTGTTTGACGCGGGTAGGGAGCTTGGGCCAGGGCTTCAGAGCTCGAACTGGCGGTCGATCACATCATGGGAAAAAGGGTGATTGGAATGCATCTTGACAGCCAAAGGCATTTCGACGCCCAAAGGAATTGCCATGAGAATGCCATGGAATTTTGTGCTGTGCCATAGCGCATTCTCAACAACAACACCATTTCTCACCTAACGAGTGTCGCTGAACAGAGAGGCCTGCGCATCCCGACTACCAGCTGTGGTTCTCAGCGACCCATTTGGCCTGCAGTAGCCTGTCCGGCACAGCCGAGCTCTCGCGAGCCGGCTCCAGGGTCGGTGCTCCAAGCGTGATTGGCCTCTGGACAACCATGCCGGCGCAGGACCAGCTTCGCGGATCACGGAAGCTACCCGAAGCCCTGGCTTGACTCGCTTCGACACGTCAATAGCATCGACGATAAGTTGCGAGGATCGAGAAGCCCCATCCGCGTGGAAAGCTTCGAGATCCCACTCCGACCCCGGCGCTGCGACTCGTGCTGCAAGCAGCCTGCGAAGGTTTCCCAGATAAAGCTAGGCTTCGCATGACGGTGACACAAGCCAGCAGACAATCGACTTGCAGTCAAAGCATAATGATGAACATCGCGAATTGACGGAATTGACTCGGTGCCAGGTGGTGTGATTGGTCAGGCATCATCTTGTTATGCGCAAGGTCGCCCATAAAGTCGCCGTGATGGTACAGTACAGTAAGGTAAGTAGATCAAGATCGTGGTGCCCCTGGACCGTAGGCACTGAGGGACCAAATGAAGGTTTTGACGTGACTCTGGACTATTGTGCACCATTTGCTGGGATTTGGCCTGTCGAAATCAGTCGCCCTGGCTTCCACCTGGAATCAAAAGCAAGCAAGGGAGGCTGATGGTCAGCTATCTGCCGGGTCATCTCTCGAATCATTAGGCATGAAATGAGGGATCCAGGTCTCTTCCATGGATCGAAGACGTGTGGAAGGCGGAGGCCCCAGCCTTCATTTCAGCTCGGGATTGCACCCTCGTGTTAAAGTACCGCGCTATCAGAGGACGGGCATCCGAGACCTGGCGTTGCTACCCTGGGCTGGGTGATGTGTCACGTTTCGAACAATGATCCCTGTCTGCGAGCCCAGAATCCACACAGGTCAAGGTGAGGCAACCTGGGAAGATGCAACATGTGTCATCCTGCCGCCTCAAGCCGCGAGGCGAAGATCCCTTCAATAGGACGTTGATCTGGTGGCACAGTGATATTGGTGGCGGGGTGGGCGAAAAGAGCAGCCGTAGAATGAAGCATAAGAGCGTGACAGGACGCAAAGATCTGGACGTTCGCGATTTCGCCTTGGTCCAGGCCGCGTCCTAATTCGAGCCGGTCTGTGACGAGCGCGATGAGTGGGTTGCAGCCTCCTCATCCTCATCCACCACCACTTGTCAATAAGTCTTGATGCAGGTGTCGAGGTAAGAAAGAAAAAGGGAGTCATGGCTGTCAATGCAATGTAATGATCAACCGCATTCGTTTGGCAAGGAGGCAGTGCCCCTCACCCCCTTCGAAATGACCCCTACCCTCTCCTTTCTTTCATCTGCTCCTCTGGGCGGATGGCCCTTGTAACCATGCACCCCAGATACAGTGGAAAGTACGCGTCGGCGCATGGAGGGGCAAACTTACTTGTAAGATGCGCAGGTATTGGCATTTTGTATACAGTACTCGGCAGCTTGTGTTTGCAGTATAACAAGAGACAAACATGAAACGCTCTGGATCGCATCGCTCCATGCTATTATGGAGGTCGGCCGTAGAATCGAGACGATGGGTTTGCGCCAGACCAACAGGAGGAAGATCCGATTCTCCATGCTTGTCTGTGCCTGTGTCCTTCCTGTTGCCCGTTTCCTGCGTTCCTTCTTCACTGGAGGAGGGGGCCGGAAAGGGGGGCTGCAGAAGGAAAGAGTTGCTGGGTACATCTGCACGGCCAGTCGTGTTTCCTGGCTCACTTCACTACGTCCTGTAGTAAGGTAGGTGGGTACCTACCTTCTCAAGCTTCTGTACAGTGAGTGAATGGGCACAGGTAGTTGGTGCCGAATATGGAGACCACTAGGCACCGCTAGGGAAGCAGCTATCTGCACGACACCATCATTTCGAGCAAGTTGGCGACGAAGCTGGGACCATTTATCTCCAGGCGTTTTTTTTTTTTTTTTGGGTAGCTTCCTCCGCATTCAGCTTGCGCTCCGACCCTGCTAGATTGTTGAGAGATAACGCGCCATGTCCTACCAAGGTGCACTGTTGAGGGCATCGCAGGTTGCCCGTTTCATTGATGGAGGGGAAGGAAGCGCGACCAGTCGCAGCTGCCTCGCTGTCATGATGCACCAACCGGGCCAGGCGAGAAGGCGACGAAGTGCACTTGTCTCTCGGCAGACATTTCTTCCCATTCTTCCCTGACAAGCCTGGCAAGCCTGGCAGGCCTGGCTCGTACTTGTCTCTCCATCATCACAAAGTGGGAGGAATACGCCAACCAACCACGACGACTCTCCACCCACCCCCCCCCCCCCTCCCCTTGCAGCCCTTGGCCCCAGGTCGCATTCACATTGGGTTGAAATTCGCCATCGCAGGCAGTAGGAAGAGAGGCACGACCTCAGGGCGTAGGACTCAGGACCCAGAGAGGACCCACACCACCTGCTCGACTGGACCACACCACACCTCCACCACGACGACGACTGCCCAGTGACTGCCCAGTGAAGGCATCTCACCTCAGGAGCGCCCGTGGGCCCCAACTTCCCGTGAAATCGACTGGCTCCCGGGCCTCGCACCCTACTCAACCCGTCCTACCCCAAGGCCTGCGCCCTCCCAAGCTGCTGCTATCCTGCCTGCCTGTCTGTCCTGTCTGTCCAGTCATTCCCCCCCCCGTTCAAACAAAGTCGCTCACTCGCCTCCCCTTTCAATCGGCAAAGGAAACCCCTTCAAACTCTAAAACCCTTTTCCCCCCACCCCACCCTAGCAGAGATAATGTACATCACGACGAGAGGTGGTGTGGGAGAGAACCAGCGCAACCGAGTGATACACTTCTTTTTTATTTTAATT